CAATTTTCCCAATAGTAACATCGTAGAAATCAATGCTTCACGATGTCAATCAAGAGACCGATTTTTTTTGTTTATTGTGCCTGTAGATGTGAAGGGTTGATTCCTCTGTATCTCAAGATACTTCAGAGAGCTAGCTAATCCGTTGCTCTTTGTGCACCCGGTTGCACATCTACCGCGTACGGACCCCCAAGTTAGAGATGAGCACAGTCTTGTTAGATGGAGGGTGTTGGATGATGCGGTGATGATGTTATGCTTGATGCACGACGGCAAACATGGATATAATTTCGCACGAGGTTATCTGACAAGGAAGAAGGGTTTTCTTTAAGCTCTATGGAGTTTTCCGAGGCATGGGTGCCGCTAGAAATTAGACGACGAATTACCAAATTTGACATGTGGACAATGGAGAAGATCGCAGATCGACTGTACACCGGTAGAGTATACAATGGTCCAAATGTTTGAGATTGTGCAGAAAGGCAGCTAACTAAATTTCTCTAAGGGTGCATTTGGATGGAGGGATTTGGGGGAGGGATTTCAAATCCATAATAACAAATCCCTCGGACTTGTTTGGATTGAGGGATTTGGAGATGTATTTCAAATCCCCACCCCTCATTTTTAGTTGATTTTGGAGCAATAGTGATAGATTTCAAATGACTCCAAAATTGGAGTCATTTCAAATCCATTCCCCAAATCCCTTCATCCAAATGCACCCTAACTGAATTTGAAGTACACCAACTCAATTTTTTTTGGGAATTGTTGTAGCTAAAAGTTTTAGAGTAATGCAGTGTGGTGAAAGTCATCGTATATTTATATTGTTGATTGTTCGAGAATATATAGTTGTTTTTCTTCAACAAAAAAAAAGCCAAAGTTTATGGGATTTTTTTTTTTTTAAAGTGAGATTGAATTTTAATTTTAAGGTTAGATTCTATATTTTTTTTGTCGGTTTTGCGTCTAATTCAGATACAGAAAACCCCTATAATGAATATATGACAAACGAAATTTATTTTTTCCATAATTAAAAAATTTATATAATAAGAGATTACATTTATAGTATTTTTTAATATTCTCTTTTTGGTTAGATAATGAATATACTCCATTTTTTATTTTTTATTTTTGGTTTTTTTGAATCAATTAATTGGTCTTTTTAATATGAATGCCGTTTGTTTGAATTTTTGCTTTTAGCTATAGACGTTGTGAACAAATCCCCATCAACGAGAGTTCCATATTGTGATAACCCCAAATTATAAATACTTACTCCATCGTTTTCATTTTATTTGTCATTTTAAGTTAATGCACACGTATTAAGAAAACTAATAAATATTCATTGGCTTTGGAAAAATCATAATAAAATGACGAAAAACCACTTTCACTGATTGTTTCACCTAATTTTATTAAAAATAGTAAGGGCAAATATGATAAAAATCAGTAAATGTTTTATTGCAATTCCAAAGTGACAATTATTTTTAAATAAACAAATTCTCTAGAAAGACAAATAAAATCGGAAGTAGAGAGTATTAGTTATGACTTATGAACCCATTAATGCGTATTACTTAAATTAACCCCATTTATCGCCTTTTTGGATTTCTTTGTTTTTGTATATATTTTTAATTCTAAGTTTTGGTTTTTTTTATTTTAAATTAGTTTTTTCTTACTTACATTTTTTGTTTTTTGTCAATTTGATTTTCAAAAAATTGACTTTTCTTTTTGGTTTTATTTTTTATTTTGTTTTAAAAAAATAGTTTTTTTTCCTGCCGAATTTAGAAGATTGAAATTCTTTTTTAGGGAAACGAGCACATATCATTAGGCACCAGAGGCCAAAAACGAAGGAAGGAAAATTTCATCCACATGTTCCATACAAGCCATTGTAGCTAAAGAATGAGTCAGGCTATTGCCTTGCCGTTTGATAAAGGAAAAAAGTACAACGAGAAAAAAACGACATCATGTTTGTGCAGCTTTCAATATAAGCGCCAAAAGAAGGAATAGAGTCATCTCTTAGACGCAGTGCATTAATCACTTGGAGACAGTCTCCCTCCAAGATGACCCATCCTTTTCTACGAGTAATACGCAAAGCATACAGTGCCGCATAAGCTTCTCTATCCACCGGTTTTGGCTTGCCCGAAAATGATCCAATACTCCACCTACGACATACACCATCTGATTTACGTGCCACCATAGCAACTCGATAATGATCGCTGCCACAAGGAAGGCCACATCAAAATTGATTTTAATAGTACCACAACTAGGAGGAAGCCATGAAGAAGGGTGAGCGGGCTGCAAGTCTTGAGCCTTAGGAAGGAGAGATTGGTGAAAAGATTGGAGAAAAAAATTGCATTGTTCCGACACTACCAGGCCTTCTACATTACAACCAAGGCGAGGAGAAAATTGTCCACAATGTAACTTATCAAATTCAGTGCAAGCTTATCAAATTCCACAATGTAACTTTTTTTTTTACTTTTTTTCTTTGTAGTTTTTTTTAAAAAATCGATTGTTTTTTCTTGTTAAATTTGTTGCTATTAGTGTCGATGCATTTATGCTTCATTGCGAATGCAAATTATTAAACCCTATGTAGCACTAAAACTTCAACTTATTAACGTTTACGCGCTTCGGAAACGTTTTGTGCCGTAAACTCGAATACACCTGTTGGACACCTTATGGGCCATTTTGCAATTTCTAAAAAGATAAAAACATGTTTGAATAGCAATTTTTTTATTTTTGTTGTTTCTCAAATTATTTACATGATTTAATGATCAGTTGCAGATTGATAGTCGATAGTTAAATTTATTTTGAATATGTTTGTATAAAAATATATATAAAGAACTTATATATTAATAAAAATTTATATATGTTTATACATAATATTTATAAATTTATACATGTTTACACGTTTTCCCCAAATTATCGTATCCCCATTTTTGGGACATGCCATTTTTATCATTTTCCCGTATCATCGTTTCCGTTTCCATTTCCGTGATACATAGATTAAACCTTAAAATTACAAATTCCGTTGAGTTTTGTTCAATGTTTACAGCAATGAACGTTTTGTATATGTGTGTCGCAAATAAACATATTGCCTGTCTGTTTTGTTTGATTTCGAAGCGCACGAATACTACTTGGCCAAATATTGTGAATTGGAAAAATAAAATAAAGTTTTGAATTTAAATTCCTTACCTTACAATTTAAAAAAATTACAATTTAAAAAACATCCGACTTGCCGGATTCGAACCAGCGACCTAAAGATAACAGCTAGCATACTACAGTCTTCCGCTCTACCAACTGAGCTAAAGTCGGTCATTGATAATTTCTTCATCAAAACGTTAATTATCCAATAATGTAATTGCAATTTGACTAAAAATTTGAATGAGAAAATCTTGTTAAAAAAGTTCAGAAAATAGCAATACGAATTTGGAAAGTTGGAAAGTAAATTTTTTTTTTGCCTAGTCAACTAATTTTTGTAAACTGGTTCATGAAAACAAAAAAGAAAAATCATTTTATTCCAAATTAACAAATATTTTAGCATTTAATTAAGGATATAACAGTAAAATAATATTATTCAGACATTACATATCTTCGGTTATCAAATGAGCTTAATAGTTTAACATTCATTATTCAAACACAACTATTAGATATTCAGATGCATATTCCGCATTCGACATTCAATATTCAGTGCATAGTCTTATAAACAACTTCTGTTAATTGCCTTCTTCATGCTTTAGCAGAGTTTGTTAGTTTCTATTTATTTATTTTTTATTTTTTATTTTTTATTTTTTTGTGCAATGAACGAATTTGCAGTCAACCATATAAGTGCACTGGGTAACACACACTATCGTATAATAGTTTACAAACCCATATGAGAGACGTAATCCATACTAAACTAGCTACGTGTAACAAGCTCGACCTAGTGACCGTTAGCAAGAGGATTCGAATTTGAATCAATTGACATAAGCTCACTTACTCTAGCCGCTAGACCATCCTTTACGGAATGAGTTTGTTAGTTTTGAGTGTATGGACTATGGAGGATGCTAAGGTTTGACGAGATTTGCCTTATGAAATTTATATTTTCTGAACAAAAAAAAAATTCACTATGAACGACCTACTATATGTTTGGCTGCGAGGTTCTTTTTGAACCTGATTTAGAAGCTTTTGATACTATTTGATCATGGATCCACACAATTGGTTGGACAATGATTTGAAAGGATAAAGTCGAAAATATGGGTGAAAATCAGACGACTCAAATCATAATTAATACTTTAGGAAAAGAAAATTTATTTTTTCGTAAGTGCAAAACTAAGTCCAATTTCATATAGAAAAAAGTTTGATCTAAAATCGTGTTCTTTTTTTTTTTTTTTTTTTGAAATCAATGTAATTTGGAATTTTCAATTTTTTTAGCTACCTATAACATCAAATACATAACAATATATTTTCAAAAATGAAAATTGGTCTGGAAATTAGAATCTAAAATGTTTTCCCATTCCGCTACAAAACTGATATGCCTAATTGGTCCAACCCAATGGACCTACAAAATATTTACCTACTGGGCCACGAGCCCAATATCGAAGACCACATCACCGAGGCCCAATCACCTTCAAGTAAGGTTTGGGCCCGACAATCTCGACTAAGCTATAAATAAAGGTTTGAACTCATTTCTTAAGGTACGTCCTATTAACTGAGCAATACTACAATACGTATTCTCTGGACTATTTCTATGATCAGCACGTCTGACTTGAGCGTCGGAGGGGTTTCCGCCGGATCAACCCCCGGCGTAGTTCACGTGTGTTCATTTCGCATGTACCTCAGGATCATCAAGTTGTCAAGCTACTGATCTGCTTTGCTCTCCCAGTTCGTTTTCTACACTACCCCAGGTGATCTAAACATTTTAGCATCATCAAAAACAAAATTCAGAAAAATCAAATGTTGGAACTTTCGAATTCAGAATGAAAAGTATTGTTCTAAAAGAAATAATTGATTTATTAGATGATGAAAATCATAATAATAATAATAATAAAATAGTAGTAGTAGTAGAAAGGGTATAAATGACATAGCACAACTTTTATAATGAGTGGGGTTTCCATATTTCCCGCCACATTTTCCTCAACCCCATATGATTCCTCCACCGAAAATTGCAACTCCATTTCGAAACTTCTTTTTTGGTGAATTTATCTTCGAAAATCAAATCAATTCTCCCCCATTGATTTATTTCAATACTAACAATTCTCCTTTCTTCTAAATTTCTGCCAATATTCAATCCCATTCTTTTCTTAATTAATTCACATTCAATCGGACGAAAGATCCGAAAAAGAAAAAGGAAAAAAAAAAAAAAAAAAAAGGAAAAACATTAATTCATCAGCCAAATTTGAATTTGGGGAATTAGGGTTGAGTTTTTACTTTTTTTTTTTAATTTATCTTTATGATGAAGGAAATGGGTACCCAGGATCTCCACCGCGTGTTCGCGATGTTCGACCGGAACGGCGACGGGAAAATAAGCCGGAAAGAGCTGAGCGAGTCGCTGGAAAAGCTCGGGATCCACATCGCCGAGAAGGAGCTCCGGCAGATGATCGAGAAGATCGACGCCAATGGCGACGGCTGCGTGGACGCGGAGGAGTTCGGGACCCTGTACGCGGCGGTGATGGAGGAGAGCGAGCGCGGCGGGGGCGACGAGGAGGACGACATGAGGGAGGCGTTCAAGGTGTTCGACAAAAACGCCGACGGATTCATCACCGTGGAGGAGCTCCGGTCTGTGCTCGCGTCGCTGGGGCTGAAGCAGGGGCGGACGCTTGAGGACTGCAAGCGGATGATCAGCAAGGTCGACGTCGACGGCGACGGGAGGGTCAATTTCGACGAGTTCCGGCAGATGATGAAAGGCGGCGGATTCGCCGCCTTGAGTTGATAATTAATTAATTCGGGGTTCGTCGAAAAATTATTGGGCGATTCTTTCTTCTTCATCAATGTAAATGGCTTTTTTTTTATTTCATATTTTTCTTTTTCCAATTGGGCGATTGATTGTTGATTATATTGTAAGTATGAATATGATAGATTCTTCTCCCATTCTGGTTTTAGTTTGAGAAGAAATCAAATACATAGTTCAATATGGTTTTATTGATGCATTTAAATGCTTGATATTTGAGATATAATTACGAAGCAGCCATGGAAAAAAGCGTTTTGTAGAATCTAGGTTAAATATAGTCTTACACTATCCTATATGTAATAACACACATTCATATGTATGTTTAATAAATAATTACTAATGTAGATTTTATGTCTTAAAATCACATGGTGTATTTCACCAAATCTTGTCACGAAATTGAACTTTGTGCATTTTATTTCCTTAAGGAAATGTCTAATTACAAAGTACCTATAATATTTAGGTAATTATAATAATTCATCAACTAGAAATCTTCTTATACATCCACCGTTGCAACGTCAGAATTTAGTGAAAAATAACCATAAATTGTGTTTTTTGGATTGAAAATATCTAGTTGTGAAATGCATAGAGAATATTTCACCGAATCAAGATGATTCAATAAAATTTGACAGCATAAGAGCGAATGATTGTAATTAATCAAACAAAAGATTTTTTAATAAGTTGACGACAAAAGATTTTTTAATAAGTTGACGAGATATGCTATTTCCACCCTCAAAATATCTTATTTCACCACCAAATTAAATATATTTCCTATTTTGCCCCTTTCTTCTTCTTTCACCAATATTTTTTACAAATTTGTAAAACGTCCACCACTAAACTAATTAAAATATTTATAAAAAAATCCCACCATTTTTACTGGAATCTTTACTATAAAATCTCACCTTCTCCATCTTAAGCGAATAATACTTTCGTCAGAGAAAGATATTTTCAAATGTCAAAAAGAGTAAAAATTCATGTTCTTGGAGAAATAAATTAAGAGTTCTTGTATGGAAGGTCCTAAACTTCCTCCATAATTAGCCAGTTTGACTTAATATAATTTTGTTTCCTAAAAAATTATATAATCCATAAGTCATCTGATATAGAAATTTAAATATCTAGTAGTAAATATTTCATTGCAAAAAAATTAAAAAAAAAAAAAGGTTAAAAAAAATAAAAAATATAAAATAGCTTAAAACACATGAGGATTAAACAAATATAGGGATGACGATGGATTATAAATTTGAGGGTATTTATGATATTTTAAATATCTTTAGTGATGAATTAAGATATTTTTAGAGGTGGAAATAACATCACTCTACGTTCACCTTACCTCAAAGTGTCGAAATAACAATGTTATTTGGTTGAAATATTGTGCGATTACTATTAGTAATTATGTGTTCAGTTGGATTTTCTACGTATTCGTACCTTTCCATTTTTGTCAACTCATAGTGAAATATGTACATATTCATTGAAGGATTAATGTACTTCATTGAAGAAACAAACTCTTTAACCCTTACATTATTAAAGGATTACACAATTAAATAAAATAAAATAAAATTTCAAGATTACACATTTTCTAAAAATTGCAATATAAGTAAACCCTAAAAAAAGATGTGCCGGTAGAATAAGGGCCTAAAAAATCAGCAAAATCAAACTCAGGCGAGTGTTACCGGCGGCTTTATATTGCAAGGTTAATAGTAAATAATTGACTGAATCGTTAAAACTTAATCCAGTCAAGAAGCTGAACTTGCTTATAAAAAAATTTATATTTCTCAATTTAGATGATTTTATATTTTAAGCTCAATTTAATCAAATATTTAAGCTGAACTTGCTTTTATAGTTGCTTTAATCCAGATAAAAAAAAAAAGAAAATTAGGTTCAAAAGTACAAATTTTATTGTATTTATCGAATGTAAGATTAAAATGCCAAGTAAAATTAATTAATTATTTATTTTATAATTTTAAAAAAAAAAAGCAAAAACCTCATTTTATAAAATGATTTTTTTAATTAAATGAATACAAAATATAAATAATAATTAAAAAAAAATGTGATCCAACCATGTGTCCAGTATGATCATAGAATTTGAGAAATCAAATGGACGAGTAAATTGGAAAAAATAATAAAAAATTGATTTAGCAAACATAGAAATTGCCTCAGAACATTTGAAAAGGTTTTGGGACAGAGTGAGTTTGCTGTAAATTAAATTAAAATTAAAACAAAAAGAAAAAGAAAAATAAGATGAGAAGAGATTGTGCCGATAGAATAAGGGCCTGAAGAATCAGTAAAAATCAGATTCAGGCGAGTGTTACCGGCGAGTTGATATTGCAAGGTTAATAGTAAATAATTGGCTGGATCGGAGTATAGCTTGATCCAGTCAAGAAGCTGAACTTGCGTGCACTAATTACAATCTATTTTTTCTCTTACAAATAACAAAATCTGAACAAATAAATATCAAAGCGTACACAGTTTTTTTTTTAGAGAGAGAAAGATACTGCAGATGTTGAAGGCGGAGATAGAATGAAAGGACTGGTGGGGATAGAGAATAAATAGAGGCGGAATGAGCTAGGGCACAGCTTATAATGGGCTTTCTCGGCCCATTATAAATAAATCCAGCCCTTTGATGGGGTCCGACTTGAATATAAATCGAGTTTTTCTTCGGATTTTTAAATTACAAGAAACCCTTCTTGTTTTGGTAATTATAATTACCTCCAAACTACATATTGTCTTAAAAAAAAAAAAAAAAAAAAAACTTCATGCAGCTGATAAATTTGACATAGTAAAGATGACCGACCGTGTAAGACAATACATAGCTGAGGGGTGATTGTAATTATCCAAGCAAGATGAGTTTTTTCGTAATTTGACTTTACCTCAAGAGAGTGGCCGTAATTTTCCCTACTTTTTATTTTGAATTTAGAAAACTCCAAAAACAAAATTGATTTTTTTTAACAAAAATTGTATTACATGTTGCATTCTATTTTTTTCATTTGGTTTTAAAAAAAGAAATTGAAATACTTTTTTCACTCTCGATAAATTATTATTTTTTTTCGAAAATATTAATTTCGATCTAGTAGTTATAAGGAGTTATTTATAAATAAATAAAATTGGGGATTATAAATAGGTGCAAACGAGTAACTTTGAGTGGAGTTTGGCAATTTTGGTGAGTTGGAGATTAAATTGAGCCAAATTTGTTCAGCTTGAACAAAGTTTGTCGAGAGCTAGAACTCAAGCTTTTATCTAGCCGTAGGCTAATGAGACGGGTTATGGTTGCATTATATGGACAATTATTGAGAGGACGAACGAACTACGAAAGACACCATGGCATCATATTAGCGATTATTTTGTGTACATTGCTCGAATAATGAAATAATATTCATTTGAATCATCTTCGACTCTGCAAATTCTAGTATCTCGTTTGCTTAGTGCTATTATATTCTATAGAATAATCAGTAGGAGCTAATAAGACATTTGGTTAGTAAGATTCGTGTTTACTATCTAGTCAAATTCGCTATTAAACTTAAAGCTTGGAATTAAATATTATATTCTGCACCTCTTTATTATGATTAATTTTATAGGGATAATTGAAAACGAAGAGACAATTTATTCCTTAAACAATATTTTAATTTAGTTAATTAATATTTTTTGGACAATGCATAAATAATTTAAAACAATTTTTTAAATAATTTTCCAGCCAATTTATAGGCGAAATCCCTCGTCCCCAGGGCCTCCATTCCTTGGCCCGACAAGTATTCATGGAGGAATGTAAGTGAAATCCTTCGTCCCCGGGGTCCCCATCCGTTGGCCCGATAAGTATTAATGAAGGAATGTAAATCATGGTGATTCAACGGCCTGTTAAGATAGCGGACCCGGACCTGGTGCCCACAAGGAAGTAGGAACCAACCCTCATTGGAGTTGAAATTCCCACACTGCGACTACCAGGATTCGATCCCAGGACCTAGTACCACCTTTGGAACCAGTTGAACAATACCCATACGTGCATCCAGCCAATTTATTGACTAAATAACTAGTTGGTCACTAGAAAATTAATTCAATCCATCTAATCAAAAATAATTAGTTAGTCAATTAGAAATGAATTCAATCTATCTAATTCAATGTAGGTAAGCAAACGAAGTTCATATCATCATATGCGAATTACGGTACCGATTTGTGACCGATAAACCATGAATAAATAAGTGAGAGATTCTACGTGTCTTAAAGAGTAAAAAAGGAGGAAATTACGGTACCGATTTGTGACCGATAAACCATGAATAAATAAGTCAGAGATTCTACGTGTCTTAAAGAGTAGAAAATGAGGAATAACTTCACAATAATTACACTTTGAGATATCTTAAAATAACTTTATGGTCCATGTAGTATCGATAATTATAACCACCCACTGAAACATTGTTAGAAACCTTAATGGAATAATGCATTGGTTAGGCTAATCTGTTAGGGTTCTAACGAACTATTAGTTTGAGGCAGTGGTGGAGACAACATAAATCTAGGGGTTGACATGGTTCTCCTAACATTTCTTAAATTCTCATTATTTTATATAAGATTTATAATTTTTTGTCTATGCAGCGGGAATCAAATATAGTGCATATCAGTTTCCAAGACATGAAATCTTAGCTCTCGTAATTGTTTTAGGGGTGTGGCTGACATGCTGTAATTACCAATAACACAGGTACCTTAATGTTTTTTAGCATACATCGGGGGTGTAGGGGTAATTTATCCTAAAAATAAAAATAGTAATAATCATTTTTAATAAAAATATATATATAAAATAAAAAAATAAAAAAATAAAAAAAAAATAGAAACTTGTCATTAGCACTTGACAGAACAATAAAATTTGCCTCATTCGTCACTCGCGAACCCTCGAAAAGCAACAATGGCGATCTCCACACTCCAGAAACTCGCCTCACGGATTTCCAAAATCCCTTCACTCTCACTTCCATCGCGCGCCATAATCGCCCGCTCCTCCGCCTCCGACGCGGCCGCGCCCCGTTCCTCCTCCGCAAAGGTCTCCGATCGGATCGTCAAACTCTTCGCAATCGACCCCGACGGCCACAGGCAGAACGTGGTCGGCCTCTCCGGCCACACCCTCCTCAAGGCGCTGACGAACAAGGGCTTAATCGATCCGGCCTCACACCGCCACGAGGAGATCGACGCCTGCTCCGCCGAATGCGAGGTCCACATCGCCCAGGAGTGGCTCGAGAAACTGCCGCCGGCGACGGAGGACGAGGAGTACGTGCTGAGGAAGAGCTCCCGGAATCGTATCCTGAACAAGCACGCCAGGCTCGGATGCCAGGTCATTCTGACGCAGGAGATGCAGGGTATGGTTGTTGCCGTACCTGAGCCCAGGCCATGGGATACTCCGTAAGGGCTTTCGTTCCCGGAGGAGCGGCGGTTGTCGTAAGGCTTAAGGCTTTTTTTTTTTTTTAATTTTGTTTTTTGAATAATGTGGATGGTTATTATGGATAATATTTGACCAATTTATGATGGATTTGGGGCGAATTTGATTGCTGTTTTTAAAATGTATGTACTTTTGAATGAAATTCGACAATTGGGTCCTCTGATATGTATCAGAGGAAATGTTCACAGTTTCATATTTAATTTTGGTAAAATAAAATTATCTTGTTTCCTGAGTTCTTTGTTTGACATCCTTTGTATGCTTTAATTGTTTGTTTAATTGTAATTTTAAAACTTGTACGATGTTCTTCTTATGTGATAAGTTGTAGTGAAGAAACTCTGAATTGTTATTTTTTACACAATGGGGGTTTGGTGTTGGTTTGGTCCTTAAAAGATTCATTAGGGTTAGCTTATTCTTGAGCACCTAAAAAGATTAGGAATTGGGGTTTGGTCCTCAAAATGTTCGATAAGCTTAACTTATTCTTAAGCACCTGAAAATAGTCGGCACTGGAAGATAATTATATGCTAGGACAAGGCCCCGTGATTTGATTCAGAAGCTCGTCTTTTTATCATTGTTATGTTGTTTTTAAGGTGTCAAGTGAGTATTGCTGAAGCGGTTAATTCTAGAAATGGCCACCGCCATATTTGGTTGGCTTTGCATTTTCTTTTCGATAACATGGAACTTTACACATGTTAAATATTGCAAGCTGTAAGAAAGCTATGTAGTGGGGTTGTTATAATTTCGAGTTTTGAATTCGATAACAAGAAATTAGAAAAAGTAGTCAGGTGACGGAGGAGATCTATAGGATGGAAGTCGAGTACCTGAGTAAGTAAATACAATAATTTTTGTGATTCGTGTTTATTTTTTAAATGTTCTGCCTCTCTTCGTTCATATGGTTATTACAGTTGGATGAGATGGTTGAGTTGGTGGCCGGTCCTAGAGATAATATAAGCAGAGTTTTAGTGCTTAGGTACGAGAGAGAGTTTGTTTGTACCTTGTGGGAAAAACTCTCTTTCTGTGTAATTTTCAAGAAGAATTGAAACAATAGGCTAGAGCACCCTGAGCTATTGTATATTAATATATTTGTATGTATAACTCGATCACTGTACCAAAAGTCTTTCGATTCCTTCATTCATCCAGAATTCTCTGTTGATTTAGGTGCATTAGCTTAGAAGCTTACTGAATTTAGGCTTTATCGGTTATCAGTTTCTTTTGCATTTTGATTCAGGGCTGGGAGATTTTTTTTTTGTTGTTGTTGAACCTCTCTTCTCTCTATATTGGGATGTGCACAAATTCTATACATGCGACAGGTTTTATGACATTGTGCAGTTAGAATTCCTACTAATGCTCATTGTTTGGAAGTGTAGGGAAAATCTATATTTTTTTTAATTTGTGATGGCTCACGTTGTCGACTGATTTATTGTCATGTAATTGTGTGCATCTCTTTATGTTGAATCATTTCCATGAAAATAAATCCATAACAGGGATCGAGGTTTAGACTTTTATCTCTTACACGCAATTATGGATAGTTTCCAAGATTGGTTTATGCTATGAAATACACCAGGCAGATATTTACCATTCAAACACACACACCCACACACACACCCACATTGTTGTATGTAAATCGACGGTAAAAATCCACCGGGTGTATCATAGAATAACCAGAGAGGGATCCGTTGGAGTTTGTACTAAATTGTAGTGTAAGTATGCATCCACTTGCAATTAGATGGGGTTTAGGTACTTAGCTTGTTGTGCACTTATGCTTGGAGCGGTTAATCACGTTTCCTCAACGTGCAGAGAGAACAGAGGTTTAACTACATATGTTTACGCATTATTCTTACCTTTACGATGAATACTCTCCAAATTCTTCACTTGGGTGATGGACAATTTGTCGATGACCGAATCTTATTAACAAGATTCGCGTTAACTGGATCTATCGACTATCAGCTTCTTCCAATCAATTGACAGTGATTTCCATGCCCATTCCCGGAATGTTAAACGATGCTATGGTTCTTATGCATTAGTCAATCGTTTCTTGATAATATAACCAAAGAGAAAACGGATGCTTCGAATGCCGCTTACGCATTGTGTTATGACCTCTGTTACATCATATTTTCTTAACTTAACTCCGAAAAAGTTTTTCCTTCATCTTTGTACTAAAAAGTTGAGAGATTTTGCTTTCTTCATAGTTTGATTCTTCATTGAACAACTATTGTTGCTTTTTAATTTCAAATATTTGAACTATAAGTCAGCAAAGTCCTATATAGATAAGAATATTAAATATATGTAAATATAATTAATTAATTTAAGATCCTCTCAACTTTCTTGAATAAACACAAGAAAATGGAACTCAACAGTACACAGACACAACTCCAGATCATATTTTTCAAGCAATGAACGGTTGCCAGAGTTCTTGGACTGGCACAATATAATGTTACAATGAACCTTAAATAGTAAAACCCTAAAACCCAAAATTTGAATTGCTATAGCACAGCTTCCAAGAAACTCAACAACCGAAAACCTCGTCTGTGTGAAGAATTGACCCAATTAGGGTAAATTAACAAGGGAAGTTAAAGATCATCCAGGTTAATCATTTCATCATCGTTCCAGTATATTACTGACTCCTCCAGCTTCGCCTCGGTTCTTGAGAGGGTTTCGCTTTCATCCAACGTTTCATCAAAGCACTCCGCCAAATCTGCTTTCCATAAACCCGATTCGCAAACTCTTCTGTACGTATTATATCTCGCACATCTCAAACCTTCTCCTCCGGAACCTTCTACCATCCCGAGAAAACGGTCCAACACACCAGCGTTCCAGAAAACAACTACAGCACATGTCCTATCCAACATTCTAACATCGAATTCTTCAGACAAGACATTGTACGAATCACAAATGAGGTTTTTCAGATTTCGGGACGATTTTCTGTTTTTTAACCCCCACAAGAACACCAAATTGTCGGTACTAACCTTTTCACTATTGCCACTCCGAATTCCCACACCGTCGTCATCGGCAGTATGTACTTTGGAACTAAATGTATTGGAAGTGCGTTGAAGGGAAGGAGCCAATTGGGTAATACGCTCACCTTCCGGAAACTCGAGAGGTATTTTTAGTATGGAGCACAATTTAACAAACAACTGGCATACTCTGAGAACATTATGACCATGAGTATTCGTATTCTCTGGCTCTTCTGCTGAAAAAAAAAGACATCATCTTCAATCGGTTAACACTTGAAGCAACAAGCGCTTCATGTTTTAGATATGTCGGTTTTCTAGTAAATTTATTATGGGCTAGATAAAGTTTTGATTACTTGCCTTGATTAGAGATGTCCATGTCTATTGGTGCAGAAAATCTTCTCTCCAAATAGGACAATGCTGCTTGCACGTTGTTCATTTTGTCGAATGGGCCGATTTCCTTCATAAGATGGTTGACGTCAAGTGTGTGAGGAAAGAGCGAAAGCAACGAATTCTTGAATTCATCCATAGTCGACGGTAGTGGAGCTTGGAACTTTGAATGTATTAAAGCAAGATCTAAATTAAAAAGTCGCCACAATGAAGTATATTAATTTCAAAATTCGGGTTGATGTTTTCAAAATGACAAAAAAAAAAAGATAGAGATAGACCATAGAGTGAATTGTGCACAACGACAGGTCTCTGAGAAGTAGAAATCAAGTCTATCACCTCACGGAAGCCACGGACAAGCTTTCTTTGCTCGTGTTCCGTATCTTGAATTTCTTTCTGTATTATGAATTATGATATAAAAAGTCACGAGTGCTATTTGAATCAACATATATTTTATATATTATATAATATAGTAACCCACGACATTGATTCATGTATACCTCGAGAAGGGTTTTGTCTTCTTTTGAACTCGTCAAAACAGCTCTAACGGCCTGCACACCCACTCCCTTTGCTGTAACATGTAATGGTACAACGTCAACAAACTCTTTCAATGCCTGCAAATCGTTTCAAAACATCAATAACCTAATTTGAAAATTACGACATTTGATAAATAAAAGAGAAATATTTATCTTTCCTAAACGGCAGTACACTGACCTCTATTACAAGCGGCACTTGGCGTTCACTGCAGACATCTATAGTCAAGGATGGTCGAGAACCAAAAACTTCACTTCCAGCTACAAGTTTCCTTAAAGAACTTATGAGAGCATCTGCAACTGACAAAATAATACATCATTGAAGGGCAAAATGGTCATAAGACATCGTTAAACTTTGCTCACCCTCAGTTTTGTTTGAATCTTTACAAGCACGTATCCAATTCTTAACTCGGGATTCGATCCTTTCCATGAATATAGTATCAGCAACTGAGTAGACTGATGAAGGTTCCACTGCGCCGTTAACGGGCGATAAATTTCCAGTTTGAATTTTCGCAGCCGACTCTTGTGCTTTCGACAAGTATGATATACCTATACAAAGAAAATGAAACGCATTCAGTTTCAATTTGTTTGTAATCTCATATCTTTGTCGTGCTAATCACATTTGATTTACAATGTTTGAGAAATCGAAAAGTGTATACGCTAAACAATTACAATGATTTAGCAGAGCAGATATAAACATATACCGTTGTAGATGCAAGCATTGAAATCAAAACCTTCTCGTGCCATAGAGGTTAGATACGACGATTGACATGAAAAACTGTAAGACGGCATCCCCACTTTCAACTCATCCCTTGGAAACACGTGGAAGTTAAACCTGCACCAGAACAGAGAAACTCAAAATCTGTAAAATTTCTCGATGAAACCGTATCAGCTGAATAATATTTTATTTCAAAATGTCAATGAACTCGATGCGAGAAATGCTCCTATAAGACCTTGAACATGACAGAATTCTAATTTCTAACAGCAGAATTAAATCTCGTCAGACGTGCACGGCATCAGAACCATGTATGAAAAAACGTGCATTTCATTTTTCTTATCATTTCCTATAGCCGGATAATTTTAATTTTTACGCAAACAGAAGTCTAAATTAACAAAAACTAGCGAGGGTTACCATTTGCAACAGATAGGGGAAAAAACGAAACGGACAAACGCAAAAAAAAAAAAAAAGAGCTCCTCTGGCTGACCTCAAACAAAGATCTAAAACTACACTTTATCATCGATAATCGGGTAGTTATGGTGTCGAAAGAGTTTGAAAACAATGCAAGCATCGCGGAGTGCAAATCGATTTGCCCATACTCTCAATTAAACAATCTATAGCCGAAATAAGGAATTTCGACAACTACAATGCCTTCTCCAGAGCTTAGTTACACTTTCATGGCAATTGCTAACTAAAAGGCAAAATTAAAATCAAATTTACGTTCACCAATCGACGAATTTATCAGTATTTCTACATTTTCCCCAATTTACAGCAAAATGAAGCGAAAAGAGGCTTACGGGTGTGCAATGACCTTAGAACCCTTAACTGAAAAGGGGCAGACCGAGAATTGGAGAATCTGAAACCGCGTGGCGGCGTCCTTGACCTTCATGTAAGCCGTCTCCGCCGTATCGATGGGGAGGATCCTTTGCCACGTGGCGGAGTGGCCGCCGGTTTTCTGCAACGAGACCGCTACGAAGTCGGAATTGAATATGCAGGCTTTGATTTCCGGCAAAGCCTCCGAGAAGTTGGAATTCGTCACCTGCTTCACCGACCATTGTTTGCCGTGGTGGTGGCGGCGGCGAGCGGCGGCGGTGTGAGAGCAGAGAAAGCGTTTGAAAAACATCGATCAAAATTACAAATAAAATACGGTGCCGTATAAACACCATATACATTTGTTAATTTTTATAAAATTGTGTACCTTAATTTATTTTTATATATTTTATTATTATTTTTTTAATTTTTTAATATTTTTTTTTATGATCGAGCTCGAATTCGAGGTTTATAGTTTACCGAACCAACAAGCTTGGTTAGTTACAATATGTTAACCGATCGAGCTTAGACGAATTTTGAACGAAGAATCTTGAATCGAGTATATACACAATTATAAACTATATATAAATATTTCTTTTATAGATATTTTTAACACAACAAAGTAGTAAGAATATTATTCAAGTTTGTTTAAAATTATATGAAGCTTCAAAATTTTATATTTGATTTTGATTTTATTACTAGTCCAATCGAGTTTGCGCGAACTTTATTCGAACCAAATGCAAATTGTACTCGAATTATTTAATTTTTATACATAGTATACAATTTGTTTTTAGGGGAAATTACGGCCACTTCATGAGGTAATGTCAAAATACGAAGAAAAAAAATCTCCTCATGTTTGGGTAATTACAACCACTCCCTTCAACTATAAATCTTCTTACGCGTCCACCCTTATGATATAAAATTACATTCCGTGGAATGTGCTCTAATTTATACTCGTTTTGTGTAAAAATGCAGTTTCTGATGCACCACAATCTAATATTTACAAGTCAAGAAACACATCTTATGATTATCTTGTTTCAAAATGTGGAGCTTGGATGGGGTAAAATGGGTACAAACTGAAAAATATTCCAAAATATTTGAAACCGCGAGGGTGGATGTTTAATAAAATTTATAGCTAAGGGATAATTATAATTACGCAAACATAAAGAATTGTTTCGTAATTTGACATTACCTCAGGGGTTGGCCGTAACTTATCCTTGATTTTAATTACATTGAGCTCAATCCGAACTTTATATCTTATATCTTATGAAATAATATTTTTTTGTTAATCATGTTAATAAATCAAATTTAGATGAGCTTTCAAGAAATTAATATGAAAGAGGAAATATTTATTTGACTATAATCGTGAAAGCAAAATGCAGCATTCTTTTGTTCCACAAGTATCTATATTAGATCCATATCTTAATCATGGAAAATATATTTATCTCCCTCGGTCTTTCGATAACTCAAGTCATCGTCTTCGATCGTCTGTGAAGAATCAGAAACTCGAAACGAGAATAAACAAAACAACTACAATTTTAGATATTTCATCGTTTATAGTTTCAAATTCTTTGGCCTTCGAGCCAACGAGTATAGAACTGCAATGCCTCGCGTGGTTTGTATTCCGGTACCGTATGCCCAGATCCCTGCACGGATAAGATTTCAAATTTAAACATAACAAACTCATGATTAAGCAAACAAGACTCTTCGTGTTGCAACCTTTTAAGTATTTGCAAAATCCCCCCTACGATTCAGTTTTATGAGCAAACTACCCCCCTAAAAACGCACCGTTTAGGGGTTTGTGCGCTAGAAAAATGCATCGGGGGCTTTGTTTTCTAATATTTATAGCACGACAAGTTTTTTAGCAATTCGGTATAACACAGCGGTACTGGATGTAATAAACTCATTTTTTTAAGTATAAAGATGTAGGTGTAGAATATACCTTTACGGTGAGAAACGTTAGACCGTTTTCGTAACCTTGAGTGTACCTGTGTGCACAAAACACAAAACAGCAAACAATTTTTACCTTGAAATAATAAAAAAAAATAGAAAAAAATAGAAAAAAAAGAAAAAAAAAGGTCTGAATTTATGAATTTACCCGGCAACTTGGTCTTTGATGGTCCAAGGCCTCCACTCATCTACGGTTTTATAACCAATGGATCTTGTCCAAGCTTGAGTTCCCGTAAACGGGACACACATATCGTGGTCCCCACTGCAATTAAAAGCAAATTAAATAATTTAAAAAATATTAGAAATAGTGAAAAATGTAATGAAAAAAAAAAGACATGATTAGTCAGAAAAGCATGGTTAAAATTACTCCCTTTGTTCCTAATAATAGTCGTTCTTCAGCTATTCACGAATATTAAGAAGTTCAATAAATATTTCTTGATTTTAGGAAAAAAAAAACACATTAAAAAGACTAAAATAACCTTGATCATTTAATGATGTGATTGAGAGAATTAATATTAGAGTTGAATAAATATGGGTAAAACAGGGGAAAAAAAAGGATGCATTTAATGCAGTATTTGAATTCTAAAGTGAACGATAGTATGGAACAAAACGGAGGGAGTATTTTATTTTATAAGTACCTAAAAATGAGGGCTCGATAGCCGCGTGAAGTGAGGTTCTTGTGATACTTGATCATGCTCCCGGCATCGTGATAGAAGGATATTCTGTCCGTGCATAGGTCCCACTTACCGGCTACATTCGCCTGATAATTAATACCAATATAATCATTTTAGTTTTTTTTTTATTCCAAAATAAAAAATAAAAAAATCTAGAGAGTCGATAGATTGATCGATCATTAAATCTTACACTGTCAGCATGAATTGCTTTCCTAACCGCTTCGTTGTTCAGCCACGCATCTGCAACTTCATCATCCTACACGACATTTTTGGAGTAAAAAAAAATCATGCAAAAATAAAATAAAATATTAGGTACCACTAGAGAAAGTAATTAATGTGTTTTTTTTTGTTTTAATTAATTAATTAATTAATTTACTTACAGTGCACGGAACATTTTCGCCGTTGAGAAGTTGAGGCCAAGAAGGGACGTAACCGTCTTTTACAGGAGCTCTAAGAGGCCAAGCACGTCCGAACATTCTTTTTCTAACAGCTAACGGTCTCTCACTACTCTCACCTAATCTCCTAAAGCTTAACGGAACTTTTGTATTCTCGAGTTGAATTATACTCGACGACCCGTGATAGCACGGCTCTAGAATGTCGTATATATTTAAATCATCAACTTCCTGCAAAATTAGTTAAAATGCTTTTTTTGTTTTTTTTTTCATTTTTTTTAAATAAAATTGAATAAATTGTGGAATCTTGATAATAAATTTATCTTACCCTATCAACTTTCGCGAGCTTGCTTTCACAATTTTCGTTTATCGGGTTGTAGTAGTTACCATTACATTCAGCATTAACTGCCTGCAAAAATAAAAAAACCATACTTATATTAGTTGTTTCGAAACATAACACACTCAATTTTTGTTTTTTCTTCTTTCATCGAGCTTGCTCACAGATCCGATTTTTAACCAATGGGTGAGCTAATTAAATACCATACATCGATTTTCTTGATATTTTCCATTTTCAGTCAAATGAATAAGTACGCACCATGAGATTAAACACAATGTCATCTACCGAAAAAATATACAAATTTACGAACCAATGTAGCACTAACACGACATATTAAAAAGAAAAATAAAATAAAATAAAAGGGCAACTTGAGCTACATACCTCAAAAAGTTCATCGGAAATAAGACCCATTCCATGTGCAAACGGTACAAGGGCATTTCCGTCAAACACATCGTCTGTGACTCCATTTCCCACCATATACCCCTGTAAAAATTAAATAATTTAAAAAATTACACACTGCAAATTTCCATGCTCAAGATATCGACTTTAATACGCAATAATACCTTAAGGTTTAGAATGGGCTTCACACCAGCGTCAATTCCTACACAATTTCAATAACTAAGTTAACGTTTTTATATCGTTAATAAAGATGATGCACTAAACATGTTTATAGATAATTAATTACCATTAGCCACTTCATAAGCCAAAGTCGGGACATAAATTCCAGCATACGATTCTCCGGATATGTAAAACGGGTTGGATAGGAATTCCGGGTAGAGCTCAAACCACTAGCCAGATGATATATATACAAAGTTATTTAATGGATAAATTCATACAGATTCAAATATATATGTATATATATATATAAAATGCACCTTGAGGAGAAATAAATGGGAGTCGAAAGCAGTTTTTAAATCTCCTGTTACGTAGTCGGATTCGTTTCTGGAGTAAGATAATCCGACACCAGCAGGGGAATCTAAATATATGATGCTAGATACCTAGTGATATTAAAAATTGGAATAAGAAATACAATTAAAAGTTAATAGTATATATATAAAGAAACGATTTTTTTAGGAATAGCACTGAAAATAGTAACCTTGGTCCAGCTGTATGGATTGAGATGCAGGGTGGGAAGGCTACCGCGTGGCTTTCCCGCCTCGAAATTGAAGGGACCTGCATTTAGAAATATATATAAAAAAAAAAATTAAAAAAAAAAATCACTGCAAATCGAAACCAAAACAATAGCAATCATTGGCCGTTTACTAGTTATGTCGTAAACGGCATTTCGTAAGAATGTGTTAACTCAAGAGAACGAAGTTAAAAAAACTTCCAAGAATGAATTTTTAAGTTAACCAAAATTAATTCGCAAATATACAGCGAACATTGATCAATACATAACTCAGTCCAAATCACATAGGATGTATAATAATGAATTTGCAAATCCTATCTCGAAATTCAAACGCATCGAAACCGAGGAACAACTAAGCATTCTTGCACTAAAAACCCCATATAGCACACATTCAAGAAAGACGGAATCTTTAACTTCCAACAAACACCAAAATAAATTAAAGCTCAAAACGCATAATCTATTCGTAAAAAAGACAGCATTTTTATCACAATATCAAGTCTTATATCATCACCACCTAAATCAAAAAAAAATAATAATAATAAATAAATAAATAAATGAAACCCAAAAATTACCATGCTCATAAACAAACCCATCAAAGCTAGAGCAACCCGGACCACCATTAAGCCAGAGAACAACAGGATCTTTGTTTGGATTCCTTTCAGACTCAACAAAGTAGTAGAACAATTTCTTCCCATAAGTTTCATCAATTGTCACATACCTGAAAAAAAAACCCACAAAAGAAATCAATAAATGAAAGATCCATTACTCAGAACAAGTAAATACATCAAAAAAAAAAAAAAAAAAAAAAAAAAAGATTCTTTTTTTATTCTTACCCAGAGTGGTGTTTGGAAGGAAAGCTGCCATGAAAACCAGGAATATGTGTAACAAGAGCATCTTCAGGTGCAGATGAACCTTTCTTGAAACTCAATGCAATTTGAATCAAGAAAAGTGTTAAGTAGCTGAACAAGTGAATCTTTCTCATTTTGATTATTTGTTTGAGAATTGAAATATACATGGAACAATGGGTTTAAATAGATGTAAATAAAAAAAAAATTAAAATATTAAATTTATCTTGACTTTAGTTTGATTATAGTTTGGGTGGCTTTAAAGGTAAGAGAGTAAAGATGAGTAGTGGGAGAAAAGTTTGGATATTTTAAACGGCCCATCCCAATCTCCACGGTAGAGCATTTACTCGATTCGTTCTTAATTAACTGTCGTTTTTTGTTTTGTATAAGTACTAAGAACCTTAGTAAATGTTCTTGATTTTAGAAAATTTGATCGTTTAATAATGTGATAAGAGATAGTTAATACTTAGAGTTGAATGAATGAGGTTATGCAGGAAAAATGCATGTAATGCAGTATTGTGACATATAATATGGAACGAATATTTTTAAATATTGACAATTATTATTAAAAAAGAGGGAGTTTTTTCGGAATTAATGTATGATTTTCATTCGCTAGATATTAAATTTTCGATATTATTATAATGATATGCTTAAATTTTCACCATTAATTTAGATACAGTTGATTTTAAGATATGTATAGATCTATGCACATGTATTGTTATAACAAAAGTATATAATTCGATGAAGTTAATTGGGTGTAAAATCGAATAAACTATTAATTAATTTACTTAAGATGTGTACTTATGAAGTGGTTAGATACATAATATTGGACTCAGAAAAATTGTAGCTATTTAAGAAAACGGATTATGTTAATCATATTTTGTAAATCGATTATCTATTTAGATTTGAATGATCTTGCATCAACTATCAAGAGCTAAAATTTTTTATATTAGCAATCACCATGTTCAAGGACAAATTTATTTATTTATTTTTTAAATGAGTATTTTTCAGGATAGATACTCCGATAATATCCACGGGTGAGTTTGGGGATACCCAATTCAAAAAACCCGAGATCTTTTACGGGATGAGGATGGGGAATTACAAATAGAGCAGGGACATGAATTAGCAATATCAGCCCCGTACCCACTCCATTGTCATCCCTAATTTGGATAAAGTTACTCCAAATAGGGTTGGTTGAGTAATTAAGTTCGATTTTAGATATATAACATGGCAACTTTCTCAAAATAACTAATTTCGAATTGTTCTTCCAGATTAAAAAATAAAAAATAATAAAAATATTGGAATAATGGAAAAAATGATCATTTATTGCACTTGACAACTTAGGAAAAATTGAAATTATTTAATGGTACAATTATATGGTAAACAGTACCAAGATTAGAAAGCTTATTTATGTTTAATTCTCTTGGGAGCACATCATCTCATATTCACATTTGCTAACTAAAGAAATTAACAGACATTCGACAAACCATATTACTATTGGAAAACTACTATAACTATATGAAAGAAAAAAAAAATAGGATAGTCGTTCGAAAGTCTATTTTCGTTTTCTTTCGACAAATAGAAAAGAGCTCCTTTTTTTTTAGGACCAATGTTTTATGGATCTTTTCAAATTTAAAGTGAATTGTTTCAATTTGTTCGGTTTGCCCCTATATTCATAGTATATCATAGAAATGACCATTGCCCGTACCGACGGGGCTGGGCGGAACGAAGTGGGTCCGGGTCAGGTCCGGAGCAAAATGGATCCGTGGATGTGTCTACACTACTTCAGCACCACTTCCAGTTAGTCAAATTATTTAAGAGCTAATTAGGTATCTAGAGGGTGTTCGACTAAATTTATAAACTGTTAAAAATAACTTATAAGATGTTTAAGAGCTTATAAGTTATTCAAAAGTATTTGATAATACATGTTTTTAAAAAAATCTTAGAAATTCTGAAAATAAGTGGTAGCCGAAAAAATTGAATCAAATAATATTGTTAGTTGATAAAGCTCACATGAAACCTCAAAGCATGTATTAAAGTGATGCACCGAGTTGTAAAGTGATACAAGAAAACAAATTAAAGTTGTTTGGAGCAAAGAAAAAAACAATTGTACCATAACCAATTAAGCTTCTAGATTGCTCAAGAGAAAACCAAACCAAAACAAAACATCGACTTTAAATATACATTAGTATTAATATCAGTATTAGTATTAGTAGTACTCCTTAAACATGTTTCGGGATTGCTATATGTGTCACAATAAGTGTTAGGGTGCCGAGGCTTCGTACTGAAGAAAACCCTCTGACGCTTGAGTCAGCGCTGAAATTCAAGAGAATAAAACTTCAAAGAAATCTTAAGAAAATTGAGTAGCATGATATGGAAATTATTTCTAAAATCTTGAGATTATGATTATTTATATAATATCAATAAGATAATATGGATGTATGCCCTTAATTAAACTTTATTATTTTAAATGGGCCCGAGTAAGGGAAAGTGAATTAAAAATTTGAGGTTAATGCCCATAATTTAGGCCCATCATGAATTAATGGCAAGATGGATGGATTTCTTGTGAGCTATATCTATCTACCTACTGCCAAACATAATCTTGAATAAAACACAGAATTTACCAAATAAAATAACAAACCTTAAAATGATGGAATATTAAATAATTTTTGTTTGTCTGATTTAGGAGGATTATTTAATTATTTCATTATCCTTGTCCTTTTAGTAATTTATGGAATATACATATATGTATTGGCATTTTATACTATGCCACTTCTGCAGGGCCGGTCCTGCAAAAATTGAGGCCCTAAGCGAGCTTCCACAAAAATAGATTTTTTTTTTCTTATATGTATTACCTTTTTTTTGTTAATACTTATTTTTCGATTTTTTTTAAATAAATGCCTTATTGAGCTACTAAAAGTTTACTAAACTATTAAAAATACATAAATATTAAAAAACAATAAACTTTGTGAAATTTCTTGATAACACAATAAAAAGATTAAAATATATACTTATATTAGAGATAATAGGGCTAAAATGCATAAATCATATCAAGATAATATTACTATAATATCAATCATTTAGCATTTTTTGAAGTAAAATCTTTAACCAACAAAATCATTATTATATATAATTTAATAAATAATAACGAAAAGCTTGTTTTTTTATTGAAATTACCAACACCCTTATCTCAAAAAACAACAAAATAGCACAATCAATTTCAAGCTATAGTGTAAAGAATAATATAAAATATATCTAAATATATATAATTAAAATATTTATTTTTGGGGGCCCCCTTGGGATGGGGGCCCAAAGCACTTGCTTGTGTGGCTTACCATCAGGGTCGGCCCTGCACGTCTGGTGAAATATACTAGATAGATTTTTACCATTCTACATTCATATATGCATAAATATACACACATCCACATTGGAGTGCGTAAATCAGAGGTAAGAATTCACCTGGTGTAGTATAAAAATAACCATGTATTAGGTTTATACTATTCTACACCATATAAAATACACCGTGTAGATCTTTACCATTCATATACACATACACGCACGTCCACATTTGGTGTGTGTAGGTAACCCTAGTCTAATCTCCACTGAGCGTAGAAATAACAATGTATTGTGCTTGTACTATGCTATACCGGTCACCGGGTAAAATACATTGGGTAGATCTTTACTATTAATATATAAAAAATACGCACACATTGATGTGTGCAGATCAATAAAAATTCACCCAATGTAAGCTTTATCGGGTGTAGTATAGAAATAACCATGTAGTTGATTTATACTATGCTACATCGTGTAGATGTTTATCAGATGAAATATACACCGGGCTAAAAGTCTTTCTTCCAAAAAAATGTACCCTTACTAACTTTTCTAGATTCAATTACTCTTTCAGCATTCACAATTTCGCCTTTCTCTCAAGCATCATAACTGGAGCGCGATTGCACAACAGTGAAGCGAAACGACGAATTAGAATGAACTCATTAGCTATGCTACTGAAGCATGTCGGATTTTCGCAATCCGATCTCTACAATTAACTTGAACAAAAGCCGTGAAATGCTATTTGCAACAACTTTTGAAAATGTAGAAGTTTGTAATCGTACACAAAACCGAAATATTTGTCTAAGCTCTAAAAATTTGGTTGTTTCAAATGTCATGATAAATTAACTTCAATCATTTATATTATAAGTTGATTTATTTGTACAGCAAACTTTAACTTCTAACTTATCTTGGTGATTTGTCTCAATCGTCCTTAAAAACTAGATTTAGATATAAACAGGGCACAAATATCCAGCCAAACTTTTTGCCCCAAAAAAAGGGTGATTTGCAAAAAGTCCCAACACTTACAAATTTGTAGAAGTTCGAAAAGAATACTCAAGAAACCATTTAAAAACAATTCACACCATTTGTGCATCATGCCTAGATAATAATAAATAAATAAAAAATTAATAATAATAATAAATTACACATACACCCCTAAGGTATGCTAAAATAACATTAAAGTCCCTATGGTAGTGGTAATTACATACACACCCTGAAACAATTACCGGAGCCAAGATTTCATGTCCTAGGGACCAATATGCACTATATTTGTTTCTCGCGTGCCATAAAACATTTTTTTAAATATTATATATAATAATAAGGATTTAAGAAATGTTAGGAGAACCATGTCACCCCTAACTCTATGTTGTCTTCACCACTGCATCTAACTAATAGTCAGTTAGAACCCAAATGAAATAACTTATCGAATGCATTATTTCGTCCGGGTTTCTAACATGTTTCAGGGGTGATTGTAATTACCGATACCACAAGAACCTTAAAATTATTTTAACATACTTCAGGGGTGCACGTGTAATTTACCCTAATTAGTATTATTATTATTATGTAAAGACAAAATCATTTATATCAATTATCACAATTGAAGCCCCATCCCACATGCAATTTCTTCAAAAACACGTACATGATAGATACAGCTCCAAATTTAAATTGTCGATTTATTGTTCATCTTTGCCCTTATCCCAATCACTCAAAATATACTTGAGCCTGATATGCACCCAAAATCACATTTCTATTTATTAATAATCATAAATAATATATTCAAATATTCCACATTGAATGGTGATATCGATACTATAGCAAAATAAATCGATGCCATTTTGTGTTTTTGAAACTTGCCCTGAATTTATTCAGAATGTTTTGTTAAAAGACTTATCATCTTTGTTTTCCGTGATACTATAAATCCCTGTAATCATAATGTAATATATATGTATATATCATGTTTCTGTTCAAAAAAAAAAAAAAATTGATGCTCTCGTTTGTATTTCCTATATTTTCAGGGTGTTTAGTGCAAAACTGAAGGTTCTGAGGGGTTAATTGTTATTTAATTTGATCTAGATTAAAAAATAAAGAAAGGGTGGAAAATGTTATATTATTTCACTCTGTTACACACACAGTGGAAGGTATATTCTTTACGTAAAAGTCCACAAATAGTTTGCAAAAGAGTCCAAAGTAAACGTAGGCCTTTTGCTCACATCTTCATATTTCATCCTTCCTTCTTATCACTACTTATCTGCTTATCAATTCAAATTTAATTTTCCATGCATATCACTCTGCAACTGCAAACCCCTTCTTCACTCTCTCACCCTCTCAAAACTCGACACGTGTCCACAAACAATTCATATATCCCCACTTTACCCCCCACGTTTCCCACCGCCATTGTCCAGCTCAATACACCCTCGCGTGCAGAAACAAAAAACCATCAAATCAACAATAATTGGCCCCTCTCTCTCTCTCTCTCTCTCTCTCTCTCTCTCTCCTCATTCTTGTTCAAATCTTCTCCACCACCACCGCCACCACACATCACGGCGGCGCCGCCACCCAGAAACCCAGAAAAAAAAATGCAGTCTTGGCGCCAATTAATGATCCCGTTATTACTCATTGTCTTTGTTAGTTCATGTTTAGTATTGGCGGGAACCGCCATTGAAGAAGAATCTGGATCTTCAATATACGAAGTTTTGAATTTATACGGGTTGCCGGCGGGTTTGCTTCCGAAGGGGGTGAAGAATTACAGCCTGGACAATTCGGGGAGATTCGCGGTCCACCTGGACCGGGCTTGCAATGCAAAGTTCGAGGACGAGATCCACTACGACGCAGACGTTTCCGGCAACATTAGCTACGGGCAGATCGACGGTCTGTCGGGAATCAAGGCGCAGGATTTGTTCTTGTGGTTTCCGGTTATTCAAATACGGGTCGACGTACCCAGCTCGGGTTTGATTTACTTCAATGTGGGCGTTGTTTCTAAGCAGTTCTCTCTCTCTCTGTTTGAAACTCCGAGGGATTGTTTGGCTGTTCCGGGTTCGGATCTTCTTCTTGCTGGAGCTCCGTTTGTTTCAAAGGTCAATTTTACACTCTGCATTTGCAAACATAATTTGTTTTTTTTAAGGGAAATTTCAAAATTGCACATTGCCCCCTGTAAATTTCTAAATTTTGCACTTTACCCCCTCAATTTTTTTTTAAAAAGTGAATGTCGTCACCTTCAAAATGTTATTCTTGTTGCGCGTTGCCCCGATAGCAAAACTCCGATGGATTATTATCGGAATTGAGTATTTTTGTTGCACCTTGCTGATTTAAAACTTTTTTTTGTTGGACAATGTTGTCTAAAAATTGGCTTTTGGGACAAAGTGCAAACAAAATAATATTTTGAAGGGGGAGTATCCATTTTTTGAATTTTCAGAGGGGAAATACGAAAATGAGAAATTGATAGCGGGTGAAATGCATTTTGTCCACTGTTTTATTTATTCATTTATTTATGGACAAAATGCACTTTGTCCTTATAAATTTCTGTTTTTGCACTTTCCCCCCTAAAAATTAAAAAATGGATATTCCCCCTTCAAAATATTATATTGATTGCAATTTACCCCATAATCCAAATTTTGGAGGTCAGAATAGTAATATTTTTAAAGGGCAAATGTGCAATAAAATTAACATGTAAAGGGGATAACATGCAATAAAAATCATTAATTCCGATGAATAATCCATCGGAATTTTTCTATCAGGGCAATGTGCAACAAAAATAATATTTTGAATGGGGACATTAACTTTAAAAAAATTTGAGGGGGTAAAGTGCGAAAATTAAAGATTTACAGGGGGTGATGTGCAATTTTCCCTGTATTTATTGATTTTGTTTAGTGAAAAAAGGTTGTCTTTTGCAAAGTCTAGCTCATCTTTGTTCTGATATGTGCCTCATTTCATCAGATTATTCACCCGGGTAAGCTCCGATATACATTTGATATCGATAATTCATCAAGAACCGGATTGTAAGATTTTGCGGGAAAAATACGATGCACCATTAGCTTCAATCACATTACGATTTTTTTCCGGTTCTTGTAATGTATAGAACAGCAGAGAGTCAGCTTTAGCGATCGATCGATCACCGTTTATTTGTTCTAGAATCTTCTCCACGATCAAATTGAAGTCGACATTGAAGGATTCGTGTGGAATATATATATATACATACATACATACGGGAGATGAGATAATCACACGGGATCAATTGAGGGTTGGTAATAAGGTGATATACATTTGCCTAAGTTTGTTAGTCAATGTGGAGATAGGAATATTGTTTGAAATTGATTTTCTCTCTCTCTCTCTCTTTTTTTTTTTTGTTGTTGTTGTTGTTGTAGTATTTAAGTATTAGATGATGAACTCACACTTATTTCTATCATGGAATAAAATAAGGAATAAAGGGTTGTTATTTTTTCGGTTTTTCAGCTTTGTGTTTGATGTGTTTGAAAAAAATTCTCCGTGTATATATACTACAGGCCACCCCCGAAGTAAGGTCAAATTACGAAAAAAAAACCCTCTTAATTGGGTTATTATAATCATCCCTTAACAATGAATCTTTTATTTTTACATATCTATTTGCTGTGTTACATTTAGTGAAATTTCTAGATTATATGAAATATTCTCCAGTTTGTTCCGGTTATATCCCACTCGAACTCCACATTTTGAAAAAAAATGATTATAAGATGTGTCTCTTGGCTTGTAAATATCATATTGTGGTGTATTAGAAACCGCATTTTTGCAAAAAACGAGTACAAACTAGCGAACATTCCACGGATGGAAGATTCTGTTGAATTTAACACCATAAGAGTGGACGTGTAAGAATATTAATTGTCGAGGGGTGGTCGTAATTACCCAAACATGAGGGTCTTTTTCGTAATTTAACATTATCTCAGATGGATGACCGTAATTTACTTCATAATATATATACCAGCATCTCACTGATTTTAAATTTACTTTGATTACAGAGAATGTTACATATTATTACTTGGCCGAAAAGGTAAAGACGGAAACCGAACAACTTATGCCTCGTTTGGTTGGCATTATTTGGTCGAATAAAGTTAAATGAAAACTTAATTATTTGATTGAATCTCGGAAGGTCCAATAAAAAAAAAAAAAAAAAAAACCTCTATAAAAGCAAGATAATGCTAGATAATCTATGATAACATAATATTTGTCGGACGACTTGGCAAATTATTGATGATACCAAACATCAAACAAAATCCAAATATTTAGTTAATAGTGGCTAATCTCTCCAATCAAACAAGGCCTTAGAATATTCGGCTTTTGTCTGTCATTAAATTTGAAAATATTCGGCTTTGTTGCAGTCGTTATATTATTTTTTTGTGAATCCTCGCATTCCTAGTATGATTACACAACTAAAGGATTTTTAAGATTCTCGACATTTTTTTAGTGTTCGGTTTTGGGTTCGATTTTGATTTCGGGTTTTAATTATTATAAGTAGGTCATAAAAGAGTGTTGATTGGTGAATTGGTTTTCACATGGTAGTTGTTTTCTTGTGGTCCATAAATTAATGGCAACCACTAGCATGAAATATGAGATGCCATCATTCAAGAAAAGTTGTTTTGTATAGAATGATGTTTCTAGAAAAATAATTATTGCACTTGAGAAAATGTATTATGTTCTTTCACATTGTACCATGAAAATAAAGTTGCTTGCTTCCTCTTTAGAGAACCCTAGATATTTTGTTTGCAGCAATGATTCGTGCTTGTATCGAATAATTTTACCCACCTCTCATGTGGTCCTTATGTTTTTTAAGGATGTTTTGTTTGTTTTGATTTTGAATTAATCGTCAATTGCAATACAGGTCGGCTAAGCTTATAAGCCGTTAAAAACGAGCTTATAAGCTCTTCCAAAGTGTTTGTTTAATTTTTTTTAAAAAGATCTTTACAAAAAAATACATTTACTCCACCTTTTTTATTTAAGATTTTATAAAGAGTATAAAAATAGCTTACAAGATCATTATCCAAATACTTTAAAGTTTTAATTTTAAAAATAAAACGTATTAACTTATCAACCCTTGAAACAGTTTATTAAATGTAAGAGTTTATCAGCTGTTTAAAATAAGCTTAATGTTTCCGTTCGAGATGGTATTTTAAGTTTCGAGGTAACATAATGATAGTCTTAGCATTTGATATTCCAATTTTAATTCGACACTGAAGTTGCTCTTAATACTCCTCTACCCATCGGAGGTGCAAAAATACACACCGTGCAACGGGTTATACAAAATGTAACCATCCAATCAATCTCATAAATTGACGCATGGTGTTTAAAAATATAATTATTCGTATATTTAAAATTTGATAATTTATTTAATGCTTATACTTCTTTTAAAAGGATATTAAAATAATACAAGTATCAAATTAGTATATTTGGTGACCAATTTTTACACTTCTCTATTGAAATTTGATTTTGTGATTCAGATCTGACGTGGCGCATTCAACAACGTAGAGAAGAAAGCTTCAGATTCATCACCCGCTCACCGTTGCTGCTATTATCAGTGGTAGAATCCAAATAAGCAAATAATTCTTCATCAAAAAATGACAACACCTATTTTTTTAAAATATTTATTATTTAGAAGAAATAAAAAAACTCATATCAGTATGGAAATTTAATTAAAAAAAAATTTATACTAGTAATATTCGAATTTCAAGATAATATTTGACAAATACTAATAATTCGGGAAAATGAGTTTTTTAGTCCCGTAAGTTTGCTAGTTGAGAGTTTTAGTCCACCATGTTTCAAAATAAGAATTTTAGTCATGTAAGTTATAAAAGTTGGGAATTTTGGTCATGTGACCTGCTATAGCAGGTAATGTGATGGTTGTTGAATGAGTTGACATTTAATTTATAAAAATAAATTAGGTGATGTGATTAATGAGTTGGATGGTTTTGGAGAGAAGTTTGATCCTCGATGTCAGAACATCAAAATAATGGGAAGTATTTATGTATTTTACTTTTTGTTACATTTTAACAATAAAGAACCTCAAAATGATTAAAATATACCATTATATTTTTTATGAAGGAAATAAGCATAAATAACGTTTAACTAATATTTCTTACTGTTTATTTGGTAAAAATAGTAATTAAATTCATATCTATTTAATTACTTTATTTTTACAAGCCTATACTTAGTGATCACAATGAAATTCAACCATAAATCATATTCAACAAACATACGAGAAAAAAACTTTATATTAAAACTTGTTGTGAAGTTACATGATGTGCACAGTCATAAGTAGGATAAGACACCAGAAACACATTAAGGAATTATCCAACA